CTAAAATTGGAAGCCTCGGGCTTCCGAACGGAAGTGGCTAGACACCGGTGGAGAGCGATCAGACGGGGGTAAACCGATTACAACCGTTGTACTCAGGATACCACCACTTGGGGACCTAGTGGCAGAGTACAACGGTTTAAAGGGCTTTGCAACGGTTAGGGACGGAAGGCAGATGTTCTACGTGTGAACGCCAGTAAGTTCACCGGTTGCAACCGGCACCTATTCCGTTGCAAATGCCCCGTCTGAACGCACCCACTGGGTCACACAGTGGCCAAAACCCAGGTACCAAGTGGGGCTTTGAGCTCAATCTTCCACATCTTCATCCAGCGTTCTAACCACTATACCACATTGGCTGTCAGGAGCTCCTATCTATTCATTGTTTTTGCACAAGACACGAAGTCTATTCTTCACTAGGCAAAGATGTGTGTGTATAATTTGTTTTCAGTGATAGCTGCTGAGATGGCATTAGCATCTTTCCTTGTGCTAACAATATTTGTTGTATCTTGTACCACTTTTTTGGGGGGGGGGGAAGGGAGACTATATATGTTATCCCAATAGCTAACACTGAAAAATATGTGCAGTGATGTGTTTTTGCCAGGTATTGTGGAGAAGAAACTTTATTTTCAGGGATGAAAGCAATGAACAAGTGGAACATCTTTACTGATGAGGAAGTGCAAGAAAAGATGGTGCTTAAGCAAAGCACAGAGGGATACAGACGTGGCTAGCTTGCAGATAATTAAATATGTATGTAGAAGAAGAAGAGTTGGTTTTTATACCCCACTTTCCTCTACTTTAAGGTGTCTTAAAGCGACATATAATCTCCTTCTCTCCTTCTCCCCACAACATGCACCTTGTGAGGCAGGTGGGGTTGAGGGAGTTCTGAGAGAACTGTGACTGGCCTAAGACCACCCAGCAGGCTTCATGCAGAGGAGCGGGGAGTCATTAGACTCCACCACTCTTAACCACTGCATCAAGGTGGCTCTCCAGCTCCATGGGAAACAATGAATGGCTTAGGAGCACCTGGCACTAATACTGCTGAAACTAAGTGCCATGAGTTTTTGATAGGGTTGCCAAGTCTGAATTTCGCCGCAGCGGGGGACTCCCGGCTGGCGGCTGGAGTGCGTGCGCGCATGCCGCATCCACGTCATTCGGAAGTGATGCGACCACGCCGGGGGCGGGGCCACGACCATCCGAGGGAAAACCATAGAGTTTTTCCTCAGATGACCGTGGCCCCACCCCCAGCGGGCCCGGCGTGGTCGCATCACTTCCGGGTGACGTGCACATCTGGGTGGGGTTCCCCCCGGGGCCCGTTCCGCCGGCGACAGGGAACGGGCCTCTGGGGCGGGGGTTTCCCCGCCCCCCGGAAGGGACTTGGCAAGCCTAGCTTTTGACTTTCTCGTGGGGGTGTGGGGCTATTTTAGAGCCTGGTTTTTTTCTAACCTCAAAAAGTGACAGAGGCGTGATCTGCTGGGGACTGTGGCGCAGGGGGATGAAGGGCTCCTGTCTCCACCTTGCACCGTTTCCAAGAGTTAGTTTAGCCTTTAGGATGGCCTTTAGCAAGTTGTATGGTTGGGATACCTCCAGGACCTCCATGCTAGTGGAATATCATAAATAAATACGCATTTTTTTTTAAAAAAAGTGATTTTGCACCCTCATTTCAATGCTGAGGTTGAAAGAAATGTTTTCATTCTTATTTGCACCAAAGGATTCTTTTTCATTTCTTTGCTTGTTTCAATTGATGATGTTTATCCTGTTTTTCTCCCCTCACAGAGCTTCAAAGCGGCTTACAATTTAAAAAGCCCAACAATACGTAAATGGAATGTTTCTGGCGCAAATGAATAATCAGAAACATTTCCTGTTCTTCTCCAGATGCATCTTCATATGTTTCTGGTTTGGATGGCTCTGCTGGCGCTTGGTCTGCTTTCACACAGGTTGTGTGATGCACTTTCAGTGCACTTCAGTGGTTGTTTGCAATAGAAGTTCCAGTTCTAAACAATTGCTTAAGTGCACTGAAAGTTCATTAAAGCAACCTTGTTCTCTCAAGAGTGCCTGGGAGTCATTCTGCTGCTTGAAAAGTGCAGAATAATAAGGGTAGCTGGTTCGTTCCTGACAGGGCCAGGCTGGTATACATTTATCTGTTTGTAAGTACACTGTGAGCATCTGGATAAAATAGTTCCTGTGTGCTGCTTATCTTGAGAGTACATGTAGTCATATGTAGGGACATCCTTTGCTTGAATACAGATGGGGCAGGCACTTCAAAAAATATTTTAATTGCATGTTGGAAAGTCAGGAAGGACATGAATATTGCGTTCATTAAATATCAGGGGATTTTTAAAATAAATAACTGTGCTCCTGATTTCGTGGGAAATGATAATTCTGAACTTAAAGTAGGGTATAAAAAACAACTCTTCCTCCTCTTCTCAAAAATCAGTCAACAGCGTACCAGTGGTCCACAATCCACATTCGTCTGTTTCTTGACTTGAGGTTAATTTGCTTTAAAGGAGGTTGCAAGAGTAAATGCAAGAAAGAAACAGTTTACTCTTCTCTTGTTTTAACAGGGCCACCTGGGGAACCCAAAGGTCTGTCTTGTGAAACAGAAGACATGGTAACAATAAACTGTGCTTGGCAGCCTGGATCAGAAGATAACCTTGTGGGGAAACGTTCAACAGAACTTATCCTGTCTGATACGTAGGTATTCTACGTACATGTTTGGTTGTCCCAAGTCACAAAATGACATGAGATTCTTATATTTAAAGGTATAACTATAGTGAAATGCTTGCTCTCCAATCACTAAGAAAATTTGGCTTCTGTCGACTTTGCCTAGTGCAATAAAGTAAAGGTAAAGGTTTCCCTTGCTCGCAAGCCAGTCAAATCTGACTCTAGGGGGCAGTGCTCATCTCCGTTTCCAAGCTGAAGAGCCAGTGCTGTCTGAAGACTTTTCCGTGGTCATGTGGCCGACATGACTACTTTGAATTAATTTCACATTTTTTTGCTATAAAAACCAACATCCCCCCCCCCCAAGTTGCTTTTATTCTGTCAAGGGACCTGGGTGTTTCATGCAGTGCTGGAGAGACATTTGGTTAACTGTTGCCTTTTGTATTCACATTTTCTTTCTCATACGTGCCCTGGCCGTCATAGGTACAGCTTGAGCACTTATTTTGCACCTGGCACCATTGAGTCCACTTCAGTGTACAGCATCCTCCTCCTTTAACTTTTAAGCCTACAAATGCAGGCTTTAGGCCTTCCCCCCATGTAGGTTTCTTAGCTTCCAGGTGGGACCTGGAGATCTCCCAGAATCACAACTGATCTCCAAACTACAGAGATACATTCCCTTGGAGAAAATTGCTGCTTTGGAGGATGGACTCCATGGCATTGTACCATGCTGCGGCTGCAAACGTGGCAACCCAGCCTCTATGTCTTGAGACTGCCGCCCCCCCCCCCACACTTTGATTTTTGTACTGAAGATTTTTGGAGACCTCAAAAGCTGTTTCATTGTTTTGTGGTGCACCCTGTCTTGTGTTGCCTTGGTAGATCCTACAGAAGGTTTTGCCTGACTATTGCAGTTTTGTGTGACTCAATGCGACTACCTACAGTCTTTTTTATATTTAACCATTGTGTCAGACTTCAGCATTGAAGCGAAGGCATGGCTTCAGAGGCAATATTCAGAGATGCTGAAGAAATTGATTGTAGAACACAAAACTAATTCTGTGAATTATTAGGAAATTAGACCTAGCGGGTTAGTTATACACAGGATTTGCACAAAGAAAATGTGAATTTAAAACACTCATCTCTTTTGATTGATAGATCACGGGGCAGTCGACTGTATTGTGTACATTTTATGTTGAGGATCACTGTGGCATATCTAAGAGTGGTTAGCTGAAAACCATAATGGGCAAATGTACAATCGCTTCAGAAATATGTTCTTCCACCCTCTGCCGCTTTCTTTGCTTGTTTTAAACGTGGTTTTGTGTTACATCCGGACCAAGGCTAAGAAAGGTTAACGCTAACCACAGTTCCTGTCTTATCTGTGATTAGAAACCACAATTTGAAGTGGGTTTGCAAATCCTTGTTGGAGCGAAAGCGGTGTGTGCAGATGTAATTTTTAAGGCTTGACAAAAACAAAACAAAAAAAAAGGAAGGGAGAGGAATTTGCCTTGGAGAAAAGAGAAGGGGGAGGGAGGGCATGTTTCCAAGTTGACTCTGGCTTTGCCAGCGTCAGGGGTCATTTCGTAGAAAAAGAGGTGCAGGAGCTCATTAGCATAACTTATTTGCATATGCCACACCCCCTGACATCACCGGAAGTGTGTCAGAAGGCAACACCCACCGCTCAGGCTCCACTGGACTGTTTTGGATTGCTAGCTATGGGGGGGGGGACGTGCAGATCTGTTCTCACAGAGGAGGGAGAGCTTGTACCTGAATAAAACTTGGTCTTAAAGGTGCCTGCCACTGGACTGTTTTGGACCGGGGAAGTCGGGGGGAGCTCTGCAACTTACCTGGCTGCTTCTTGCTCTGACTGAGGGCTGCTGGGAGCAGGGGGTGGGGCTTGTTGCATGTGCCCGCCCCCTGGGCTCTTTACTGCCGGAGCTCCGCTCCTGTGCGCTCCTGCAGGAAATGACCCCTGGCCAGCGTTACATCTGCACTGGTTCAGGTCCTTCTGTGCAAGGCTGTGTTAGGGAGGGAAACGGCAACTTTCCCATGTTGGCATTTGTTGCTTCAGCTATCTAATTCCGTTAGCTGTACTGATGTGCCTTTTTCTCTCCCTCTGTTTGTTGTTGGGGGTTTTTTGCCGTCTTATGCCAAGCCCACAGGGTGTCCAAGGCAAGAGACGTTCAGAGGTGGTTTGCCCTTGCCTGCCTCTGCGCAGTGACCCTGGGCTTCCTTGGTGGTCTCCCACTCAAATACTGACCAGGGCTGACCCCACTTAGCTTCCAAGATCTGACGAGATTGGGCTAGACTGGGCTATCCTGGTCAGGGCATCCTTCTGTATAAGAAATAGATATATTAAAAAATTGTTTTCTCTCAGGATCATTCCCGGTCTCATCTCACCCTGGCACCTCTCATCAAACTCCATCTCACTGCTCTTCTGCCACCTGATTTGCTTCCAGAATGTTGCCACTTTATAACAACCTGAATGCTGGTTGCAGAACAATTGGTGTGCAGTGATTTCATTTTCCTGATCTTAATCTGAGTGCAGCCATTGAGCCCAGAAGTTGGGCCCCAAATATAGTCAGCACTGCAAAGACAGGCACAGATCCCAAGTTCTGCTTCAGACATGGTCAACGGCTTGTGTGGGCCCTAGAGATGTAGTGCAGTATAGTAGCTAAGGGGATGAGCTATGAACTGGGAAGCCAACTCTGCCTTAACCTGCCCCTCCCCCAAAATAGCATTTTGGGGCATAGTTTGCTTTGATGCTGCTAGCTTTGGGAAGGGCAGGAACACCAAAGTCACGTCCGTACCCCCCAGGCGGCAAAATAATAATGCTAACAGCCGTTCAGTGATGGTAACAATTGCTGAAATTGTGAACGTGAAGCACATTAGACACCACAACGTTATGTACGTGCTCCATTTTCATCACAGACGTTTCTTTAAACCCTAGACCACCATGCATGAGTTTGTTCAGATTCAGTTTCCACTCTCTTCCATATGCTTTAATAACTGCTCAGGGTCAGTTCTGTATTTCTGTATTTGTAAGAGTTAGTTTAGTTACGATCTTAAGACCGGCATACAATATAAACATAATATATTTGTAAGAACTGATGTCTCAAAGGAAGACAAATAATTTACAGGGTATCCTTTCTGTCTCCTCCAACTCCCACTACCATTTTTTTCAAGGTCTAATGGGAAAATTTATTGCCATCAACAGCCCTCAAGGAACAGCTGCTCATTCAGAATGGGCACTCAAACCACATACGACTTAAGACTGGAGGCCAAAAATAAACTGGGGAAGAAGCACACTTACCTTAATTTTGATGTAACTCATAGAGGTAAGAGAGACCTGCCTTTACTGTATTCAATAAACTTGAACCTTCTGAAGGAAAGTTGTTGAGAACTGATTGTTCCGGGACTCCGACAAGAATAGGCCAGAATAAATTTAGAAATTCTTTGGATTTGAAATGTTATTTTTTACATGATCTTTTTTTACACAAAGCTGCCTTATATTGCATCAGACTTTTTGGCCAATCAAGATCAGTATTGCCTACTCAGGCTGGCAGCAACTCTCCAGAGTTTCCGACTGAGGTCTTTCACATCACCTCCTACCTGAACCTTTTATCTGGATAAGAACATAAGAGAAGCCAATGTTGGATCAGGCCAATGGCCCATCTAGTCCATCACTCTGTCACACAGTGGCCAAAAAAACCCAGGTGCCATCAGGAGGTCCAGCAGTGGGACCAGGACACTAGACGTCCTCCCACTGCTGCCCCCTCCCAAGCACCAAGAATACAGAGCATCACTTGCCCCAGACCGAGAGTCCCTATCTATATTTTGTGGCTAATAGCCACTGATGGACTTCTGCTCCATATGCTTATCTAATTCCCTCTTGAAGCTGTCCATGCTTGTAGCCGCCACCAGCTCCTTCCTTCCTTTTATCTATTCTAACCCGACTGTTTAGCAATTTCATTGAGTGCCCACGAGTTGTGAGAAAGGGAGAAAAGTACTTCTTTCTCAACCTGCTCTATCCCATGCATAATCTTATAAACCTCGATCATGTCACCCCTCAGCCGTCATTTCTCCAAGCTAAAGAGACCCAAGCGCTTTAACCTTTCTTCATAGGGAAAGTGTTCCAACCCTTTTATTATTCTAGTTGCCCTTTTCTGCACTTTTTCCAATGCTATAATATCCTTTTTGAGGTGTGGTGACCAGAACTGTACACAGTACTCCAAAAGAGGTCGCACTATTGATTTATACAGGGGCATTATGATATTGGCTGATTTGTTGTCAATTCCCTTCCTAATAATCCCCAGCATAGTATTGGCCTTTTTTATTGCAGTTGCACACTGTCTCGACATTCTCATTGAGTTATCTACTACGACTCTAAGATCTCTCTCTTGGTCAGTCTCTGCAAGTTCGGACCCCATCAATGTGTTTGGCTCCAAACTTGGCCACATTGAACCCTATTTGCCATGTTGACGCCCACTTGCCCATCCTCAACAGATCCCTTTGGAGTGCCCCACAGTCCTCCCTGGTTCTCACCACCCTGAACAACTTCATGTCATCTGCAAATTTAGCCACTTCACTGCTTGCTCCAACTCCAAATCATTAATAAACAAGTTAAAAAGCATTGGACCAAGTACTGATCCCTGTGGTACCCCACTGCTTACCACCATCCACTGAGAAAATTGCCCATTTATACTCACTCTCTGTTTTCTATTAATTAGCCAGTTTTTGATCCACAAGAGGACTTGTCCTTTTATCCCATGACTATTGAGCTTACTTAGCAGCCTTTGATGAGGAACTTTATCAAAAGCTTTTTGGAAGTCAAGGTAGACAACATCTATTGGGTCCCCTTTGTCCACATGTTTGTTCACTCCCTCAAAGAACACTAACAGGTTAGTGAGACAAGATCTTCCCTTACAGAACCCATCCTGAGTCTGCCTCAATAGTTTTTGTTCATCAATGTGCCTACTAATTCTTCCCTTAATAACAGTTTCTACCAACTTACTTGGTATCGATGTCAGACTGACTGGCCTGTAATTTCCTGGATCTCCTCTGGAACCCTTTTTAAAGATGGGAGTGACATTAGCTACCTCCCAGTCCTCAGGAATGGAGGCAGTTATTTCGTCTAGCCGCTATCTTTAATTCATTCATCATTTTATAATCCTCCTCTATCTTTTGATCTGGTGGGATGATAGCAAACTCCCAGTGTTAAGTTTCCTTTTGGGCCCACTATTTCAACCCATAGCATTTCCAGAAGTGAATCCAATTCTCTTACCCTCTCAGTCTTATGCTGGACATTGAACTTGGGACCTTCTGCATACCAAACAGGTGCTCTACAGCTGAGCCACAGCCCTTTCCCATCATATTCTTCCTGGCTACCATCCCAGATAGCTCCATGATAAGAATATGCTGATATGAGAACAAGATGTGCGTCCACCTTTGACAAAATTTCTAGGGTATAAGTCTCTGAGACTTAAAGCCCACTTCATCAGATACCCTTTGACTCTTGAAACCTTATATGCTGGAAATTTGGTTGGTCTTTAAAGTGCTATTGGACCCTGATCTTGCTCATCTACTGCTGACCCACTCAACTACCCACCTGAAACTTGATAGACGAGGACTCAGAACCAATCCTTGCTGAACTGTCTTGGACAACAGGGCCTTTTTGCTTCATAGAGAACATTAGAGAAGCTATGTTGGATCAGGCCCATGGTCCATCCAGTCCAACACTCTGTGTCACACAGTGGCCAAAAAAACCAGGTGCCTTCCAGAACCTTGCTGAGGGTCAGAGAAGATGGTATTTGGCTAAATAGAACAATGATTTGATAGGATTCAGGGGAAGTGGAAGTCACCTGTTCCACAATCTTGCACCATCTTCCTAAGTGTTTTACCTATAATAAAATAATTCCTTGAAGAGACCCCCTTTTTCAGTTCTGATCTGCTGTAGTGTAAAAGGACAACAGAGCAATTCAGAGAACTTTATACCCATTTTACTGCTCGAAGTACTTTAACAGCTTTTACAGAATTTTTTAAATATTCCACCACGGAGATTCCATCATTCATCTACCCCATTACTGGGGGTGGGTGGGTAAGATGTCGCTGGGCAGAGATGGGGAGAATATCATTCCTGGCACTCATGCCATTAAAAAAGTCGGCCGCCAATGCAGAATGTTGCGCATCTTGGTGATTTTATATAGATTATCAGAGCACCGATTTTATTATGTATGAATTATTGTTTTATTGTTTTAAATTTTAAATTCGGCATTGCCGCTTGTTAGCCGCCCTGAGCCGCTGGGTAGGGCAGGATATAAATCCCAAAATAAATAAATAAATTTAAAAAATAAATAAAATATTCTTTCTTTCAACCCAGTTCATCCTGCACCCCCTTTTGACCTCTCTGTTTCTGAGAGATATGCTACAGCTGTTGAGCTGTATTGGAAAATGAAACATAACCTTGAGCTGCTTTGCCAAATTGAATGTCGTCATCCAGATGGGAAAGTGGACCTGGTAAGACAGACACTCTTAAAACCTCTTTCATTTCATAGGCTTGGTGTGGGTAGCCACGTCGCGGTGCTGTGGCGGAGTTCTGCAGCCCCTTGAAAACTAGCAGATGCCTTGCTTTCGTGGGATAGAGCCACTTTGTCAGATGCAGCCACAAAAAACAGTCAGTCAATAAGGTGGCACAAGACTCTGTGTTGCACTTAACCCAAAAGTACTTAACTCAAAAGGCCGTGTTTTTAGCAGAAGCAGACAGCACAGCTTGCATAATGCTGAAGAAGAGTTTCCATTACTAAGTCTACAACCATAATGGTGACTTTCCTTGGAATAAGCCCCATTGAAAGTATGGGGCTTCCTTCTGAGTAGAATTCTCTAGGATCACTCACTAAAACTCTTAATAAGGATATGCTGCTATTTTATTTATTTCTTAGATTTTTACCCCACCGTCCTGGCTATTATTATTATTATTAATTCACTGTATTTATAGTCTACCTTCCTCACTAAGTCAACAACAGTCCATCTAATAAGCACAATTCAAGATTGGTAGCTGTGTTAGTCTGTCCGTAGGAGTTGAAAAAAGCAAGAGTCTGCATATTTTGTTAATCTTTAAGGTGTTACTGGATTTTTGCTCTTTTCTACTAATAAGCACAGTGTAGGCCAATATGAGGAGACATTTAATAAGCAATGTACTCGGCCTAGGAGGATCATCAAACTCTTAATGTCATGTTAGGCATAATATACAGTGTGGATATAATGAAGAAAAACAGTGTTACATCTACACAAACAATGAAATGACAAGGTAATACATGCGGGGAAATGAGAATATGTCCTGTATAACAGTCCCTTTCCCTTTGTAAAGTGACTTTCTGTTCTGTTATTTATTTATTTCTTTATGCCATCAAGTTCGTAGGGTTTTCAAGACAAGAGACGTTTAGAAGTGGTTTGACATTGCCTTCCCCTGTGTCACGATCCTGGTATTCCTTGGAGGTCTCCCACCGAAATACTAATCAGGGTTGAGCCTGCTTAGCTTCTGAGATCTAATGAGCCCTATTACTTTTGTAGAAAAGCTCTCCTGAACAGTTCTGTTTTACAAAGCTTGTGGAATGACAGTAGCATGAAAACTAGGGATGGGCACAGACCAGAAAAATGGAGGTCCATGGAGGTTCATGAATTTCACAAACCATGGACTTCCACAGACTTTCTCAGTTTATGAACCAGTTCATAAGGTTCGTGATGAGGACAACCCAGAAGTGGGCTCAGGAGATATTTAACTGCCTCCTGAGCTCATTGGTGTTGTGCCACAGCAGCAGCATGATCTGGAAGTGGGCTCCCCTTGTGGGCGTGCAGCAGCAGCACAGCTCCAAAGGGTTCCCTGGGCGCCAGCATGTCTGGCCCATGGACTGCCACAATGAACCAAATGGACCACTGGAAAAAACTGTGGTCCATGGATGGTCAGTCAAAACTGCAAATGCACAGACTGGGCAAACAGACCATGAACCAGGCCCCGGTTCGTTACAAAATTATGTCCATGGACCAGTCCATGGGAACCCTCTTGACCTTCTCAGGCAGGCCGTTCCACACCATAGAAAGCATGCATACAGGCAGTTGTAGAAACCTGAGGAGATTTACACTATAGTCCTAGTCAGCAATATGTGCTGGTGGGAGGAGAAGGGCATGAACACTTCTGGGATGGAAGTTTATATCTAGCCTTCTCATAATTTATGTCTTCAACATAGATTACAAATATTTTTCAACAAAGCCATTTCAATCCCAGCAGTGGTTAACTTCCATAACTTCCATACTTGCTCTGGGGCAAGTGATGCTCTGTCTTCTTGGTGCTTGGGGGGTCAACAGTGGGAGGGCTTCTAATGTCCTGGCCCCACTGGTGGACCTCCTGATGGCCCCTGGTATTTCTGGCCACTGTGTGACACAGAGTGTTTGGCCTGATCCAACATTGGCGTCTCTTATGTTCTTATGTTCACATGTAACTTGTCCGCCCTAGAATAAACCCAACAGACCCCCTTGTACTAGGTATGACATCTACACTGGAAGGCAACCCCCTTTGGTGTCGCCATCCAGTCATGCCCATTGGTGCCACCTCAGTTCTCCTCAGTGTCTTTTTTTTCCTTTTCCTTTTTCTAAAGACTGATAAGGCAGACTAAATCAGTCTTTGTTTATTGTGAAACTTCTGGCATACATTTAAATAATAATGAACTAACTAAAATTGGGTGTGCATTTGGAGGAACAAGCTCCTCTGGTGTGACAGTGTGATAATATTTGTATGAAACTGATATTCTTTAATGCAAAACCCCAATATTAGGAAAAGAACAGCTATTTGTTGTTGTTGTTCAGTCGCACAGTCGAGTCCGACTCTTCGCGACCCCATGGATCATCTCCTTCCAGGCCCTCCTGTCTTCCACCGTCCTCTGAAGTTTGCTCAATTTCATGTTCGTTGCATCGATGACACTGTCTAACCATCTCATCCTTTGCTGTCCCCGTCTTCTTTGACCTTCAATCTTTCCCAGCATCAGGGTCTTCTCCAGTGAGTGCTCCCTTCTCATTTGGTGGCCAAAGTATTTGAGCTTCAGTTTCATTATCTGGCCTTCCAGGGAACAGTCAGGGTTGATTTCTTTGAGGATTGACTGATTTGTTCTTCTTGCAGTCCAAGGGACTCTCAAGAGTCTCCTCCAGCACCATAGTTCAAAAGAATCTATTCTTCGGCGCTCGGCCTTCCTTATAGTCCAACTCTCACAGCCATACATGACTACTGGGAATACCATTGCTTTGACCATGCGGACTTTTGTTGGCAGGGTGATGTCTCTACTTTTTATCATGCTGTTTAGGTTCGCCATCACTTTCCTCCCAAGGAAATCTTTTAATTTCATGGCTGCTGTCACAGTCTGCGGTGATCTGGGATCCCAGGAACGTGAAGTCTGTCACTACTTCCACGACTTCCCCTTCTATTTGCCAAGGAGTGATGGGGCCGGATGCCATGATCTTAGTTTTTTTGATGTTGAGCTTCAAGCCCACTTTTGCGCTCTCCTCTTTTACCCTGAGCAAGAGGCTCTTTAGGTCCTCTTCACTTTCTGCCATTAGAGTGGTATCGTCTGCATATCTGAGGTTGTTGATCTTTTCCCCAGCAATCTTAATTCCCGCTTGTGATTCATCCAGGCCAGCATTTCGCATGATGTACTCTGCATATATATTAAATAAGCAAGGCGACAATATACATCCTTGTCGTACTCCTTTTCCTATGCTAAACCAATCAGTTGTTCCATATCCGGTTCTAACTGTCGCTTCTTGGCCCTTATACAGGTTTCTCAAGAGACATGTGAGGTGGTCTGGTACTATAGTTTGAACATTCCTTGGCATTGCCCTTCTTTGGGATTGGAGTGTATACTGACCTTTTCCAATCCTGTGGCCACTGTTGCGTTTTCCAAATTTGCTGGCAAATGGAGTGCAGCACTTTAACAGCATCATCTTCTAAGACTTTGAATAGCTCAGCTGGAATACCATCACCTTCACTAGCTTTGTTGTTAGTAATGCTTTCTAAGGCCCATTTAACTTCACATTCCAGGATGTCTGGCTCGAGGTCAGTGATTATACCGTCGTGGTTGTCAAGGACATCGAGGTCTTTCTTGTATAGTTCTTCTGTGTATTCTTGCCATCTTTTCCTAATCTCATCTGCTTCTGTTAGGTCCCTACCGTTTTTGTCCTTTATCATGGCCAGCTTTGCATGGAACGCTCCCTTGATTTCTCCAATTTTCTTGAAGAGATCTCTAGTCCTTCCCATTCTATTGTTTTCTTCTATAACTTTGCACTGTTCATTCAGGAAGGCCTCCTTATCTCTCCTTGCTGTTCTCTGGAAATCTGCGTTCAGTTGGGTAAATCTTTCCTTTTCGCCTTTGCCTTTCGCTTTCCTTCTTTCCTCTGCTATTTGTAAAGCCTCATCAGAAAGCCACTTTGCTTTCTTGCATTTCTTTTTCTTTGGGATGGTGGTGATTGCTGCCTCCTGTGCAATCCCTTCTGTAAATAGGAAGCCCTTCCACATGTGCATAACAGCAGAATAATATTTCCTTCTGAGAATTGCTCCTTGAATTTGAAGGGGGGTCACTCCAACTGAGCCTCTGAATTGGTGGGGGGCAAAGTCAGAAAACTGCTGATGGGAGCTGAAATGTTCACATGTACAAACAGAACACTATGCAGAACAGTCTTGATTCTAACCTATGCCTTTCCTATTAGACTAGTTATTTCGGTGCGATACAAGCTTTGTCTCTTATCCTGCCCCTCACACCTAATTTAGCATCAGAAAATGCTCACTATTGCCAATATTTTAAAAAGTACTTTGAATAAGAGGTCCTTGTAGAAACACCTCAGCAATGCATATGTCAAACTAGTAACCAAAAGGCAACAAAAGTGGGACCCCTCAGTGTCTTGATGGTGGTTGGACTCCTTACAGGAAGGGGGCTGAATGGCATTGCCCTCCTCCCTCAGAAATGTCAGCAGCACTTCTAGCTGTCTTGGCTTCAGAAACTTGGCTTCCCAGATAAGCTGGCTTGAAAGAAAGAGGCCCTTATCCAGCCAAGCTAGGCTTGACCGTGTCGCACGGAAACCAGTGGAACACATTAGCGGTGACTACCTTCAGTCCCTTTGGTTTCAAGGTATCAGATCACTGTATGCAGTTTCATGAGTATGTCTTTGTTCAGACCTAATGACCTGGATGTATTCTGAAAGTATTCTTACTAGTCCCAGGCAGTGTTCCCTCTAAGCTGAGTTAATGCGAGCTAGCGGTTCGAAAGTGTGTAAAACGCAAGTAGATAAAATGGGTACCTGCCCCTACGTGGCAGGGGGCACCCCTCCTCCTTACGAGGACGTGTGGCAGGAGCAACGGCGGCAATGGTGGCGGCAGCGGAGTTGGCCCTCGCGACCCGGCGTGTGCGAGGCTGGACGGAGGCGGAGTCATGGTGTGCGGTGGTGTGGCGACGCGGCGTGGTGGAGCCTGCGGGACAGAACCAGAGCTGCGGCTGGCGCGTTGCTGAGCACCAGGTGAAGCCCACCGGAAGGAGCCGCAGTTTAAGACCTGCTCCGGGTGCCAGGAAGTGAAGCACCGAAGAGCTGCCAGGGACTGAACAACAAGCTGAGCCAGGAACTGAATAACAACTGAGCCCGCGGCCGGGGTGCTGGTAGGTTATCACCCCCCATGCAAATAATGAGGCCCTAGTTAGGGATAAATAGCTGTGTAAACCGCTCAGAGACCCTCCGAGGTCAGAGCGGTATATAAGTCGGAAATTAAATAAAAAATAAATAAATAAAATAGCTCACAGGTTTTTAGCCTCCGGCTCACACGTTTTTGTCTTAGCTCAGGAAGGATGGCTCCAGAACAAATTAATTTATACAGTAGCCAAACAGCCCGCTCAGAACTTTAATGCCAGTAGCTCACAAAGTAGAATTTTTGCTCACAAGACTCCACAGCTTAGAGGGAGCATTGGTCCCAGGGCATTTTTCCTGTTTTTGTGCACTGTGCAAAGATGCAACAGCAGCAACAACAAAATCCCTATTCCTGACCTGTTACAACCTGATATGTTTTACAGCACAACAGTATATCATATAGCACCGGGTCCTGTCATATTGTGATTGGGTTGCAACCTTATACTGAATATATGTTTCGAGTACGCTGTGGGGCCAACCGACACTTCTGGAAATGGAGTGAATGGAGTGAATCAATAACTGCACAGACAAAAGAATCCGGTAAGGAAGACAGTGGAAGACAGTCACGGGATGATAAGGTGTGTGGTTCGGTTCAGTGAGATGTTCTTGATGTCAGACTCCACCTCCTGCGGGTCGGAGTCGAGGGTGTGTCTTCCTTTCCATCCTTTCCTTTGTCCAATAACAGCTCTATGGCTCAATGCCTTGAACATTGTAACAATCTGAAATTTCATTTATACTTTCTGTTTATTTCCCAAAAGACAAAAGGAGTAAAAAAATTGATATCCAAAGTTATATAAAGATTTTGATCTAAAGGTAGGAAGGGGACCACCCTGCTTGCATTAGAATAATAGAAATTTACCAGCCACAGGAGAGTGAAATGATATCTTAGAGTTAGAATATAGAGGACATTCCAGTAAAATATGAGAGAGTGTATCTGTTTTAGCAAGGGTGTAAGAACAATTTCTGTCGGAATAGGAAAGATGCAAAAAACAGCCTCTCATAACCAATATTTCTTGAAATATGCTTCCCAGGCTTGTAGGAAGATGAGTTTTAAGTCCCTGGTTTATAATAGATCAGAATGCTGAGCTGTCATTAGAATTAACAGCCACTGTTAGCTGTATCCAAACATTACACAATTCTTCAGTTATGGTCAGTTATGGACCATTCCTTGACATGTCTGCATGCCTGCAACATGTATGGCTGTTAACTGCACCCTGTGTTTCATTGCCCACTGCCGGATTAGGGTCTCTGCAGAGTTGAATGGAACCTGTGCCTCCCTGTTTGTTTAAATAAAACTTGGCTGTTGTATTGTCCATTGCAAGCAGAGCATGACAGCTGGTGCTCAGTGCTGAAAAAGAAACAAGGGCAAGTCTAATAGTTCTTAGCTCCAGCAAGTTAATATGGAGTCTAGGCTCAGAGCTGGACCACAAACCCTGGACAGTGTGAGCACCACAATGAGCCCTCCAACCCGTTAGGGAGGCATCTGTAAAAATCTGCACATCATGTGGTCAAGTGCCGAATGGGATGCTCACCGACAAATTAGATCTTGTGGACCACCAGAGTAGACTCTTGGTAACTACCCTAGGGATAGAAAATTTCTTCCATTGAGAGTTGGACATAAGGCTAAAGGACCTCAGAAACCAATTCTGGAGAGGTCTCACGTGCAACCTAGCAAAAGGCACACCTGCTGTAATCGATGCCATGTATCCCCAAAGTTTCTGAATAACCTTAGCAGACTGACACCTGTTGGTGTGAGACCTTCTGGACAAGGCCAATAACGGACTAAGCCCTCCTCGTGGGTAAGAAAGCTCTCCCCATGACTGCATCTAAGATGGCCCTGATTAAACTCTACAGGTTGGGACACAGAAAGTTGGTATTTCTCCCAATTAAAGAAACCTAACTCCTGCACTAAGGTTAGCGCCAACTTCAGGTCCCGTTGAAGTCCCTCTCTGGAATCATTAACAAAGAACCAGTCTTTGAGTAGGGGTAGTTATTACAGCCCCTAAGCCTAAGGTGGGATATGATAACCAACACACACTTGGTGAACACCCTAGGTGCGGTGACTAACCCAAAGGGAAGGATCGTATATTCATAGTCCACCTCATCATAAATGAACCTGAGGAATTTCCTACTATGAACACCCTAGGTGCTGTGACTAACCCAAAGGGAAGGATCGTATGTATATTCATAGTCCACCTCATCATAAATGAACCTGAGGAATTTCCTACTGGCCTCGTGAATCGCAATATGGAAGTAGGCATCCTTTAAGTCGAAGATTGTAAACTATGAACTGTGTTGTAGAAGAGGTAATAGCTCTTGTAGGGATAGCATACGAAACTTGGATACCTAGACATGTTTATGCCTGGCCTTAAGCCTGGCCACTCTTCCAACTCTTGCCTTTGGGGTCAGATGGCAGCAGGCCACATTGTGGCCTTTGCCTAAATAAAATAGGCATGACTTATTGTCATTGTTCTGGACCATTTTGGCTCCAGACTCTTCACATTTCTTAAATAAGGTCATTAGGCCCTCAGTACTCACTAAGAGAAGGGGGGAAAACGATGTAGATGGAAAAAGGCTCGTGCTCTCCTCATGGCAGCAAGGAAAGAACTGAGGGAAGAGTGCTCACCCTGACCCCATCATGTGACCCTTTGGGCAGGAAAAGGGATATACTGAAGATGGAGGTGGGGAGGAGCACTCTCTAGCTCTAGAAAGAACTCTGCAAAGCTTGTTAGCTCTTCTGCGGCTGGCCTGCAACTGCGCAGCCCCCTTGTGGGACTGCACGGAAGTCATGATGGTGAATTTACAAATGAGGAAAATGAGGATGCCGAGAAACCCAATGTGTGAAAAGGAACATGTCAGGGATTTCTGCCTACTTCCTGCCCTCTCTGATGACTCATCAGTGATAGCTTGAAACTGATGGCATGGAGTCCTCAGTTGGAGTTGGATCAAGTCCTGCCCTGGCCACTGCTGGTCCTCTCCTCAAAGACCTATCAGTTCATTATCTTGGTTATTCAGCAATGTTATGTGTTTGATTTTGCAGCTCCATCAGGGCATCTTGATGTCTGGAGAAGCATTAGCCGAGGTTTGGACTCCTGTAGAGTAACTGTCTTCTGGAAGGTAAGTCTGACTGTACAAACTGATGATGAGTCAGTGGGACAAAAAATGCAAGAGGAATTTTGTCAGTGTGATGATGGATTCTGTAAAGATAACAAAAAATACGGATTCCTTTACAAATAATATTTTCAGTGTAGACTTGACAGCTTGCAAAATGGTGACTGCTAGCTAGCTTAGATGGGGATTAGAGAAATTGTTGAAGGGTTTGGCCTGTAGAACGTGGAATTAACTGCTGCAAGAAGTGCTGGTTGAATTCCTTTACAAATAATATTGTCAGTGTAGAATTGACAGCTTGCAAAATGGGGTGCTGCTGACTGTTAGCTAGCTTCAATGGGGATTAGAGAAATTGTTGAAGGGATTGGCCTGTAGAATGTGGAATTAACTGCTGCAAGAAGTGCTGGTGACTACAAGCATAGACAGCTTTAAGAGGGGATTGGATGCTGTGTATTCTTGGTGCTTGGGGGGCAACAGTGGGAGGGCTTCTGGAGATCTGGCCCACTGGTGGACCTCCTGATGGCACCTGGGTTTTGGCCACTGTGTGACACAGAGTGTTGGACTGGATGGGACATTGGCCTGATCCAACATGGCTTCTCTTATGTTCTTAACATGAATGAATGGAACTTGGGTCACTAGATAAATGAATACTTGATCCTGAGGGCAGCAATGGGCAGGGTTGCTATCTTCATGATCTGCTTGTGAGTTTCCAGAGGCATCTGGTTAGCCACTGTGGGAAACAACATGACAGAAAAGGGAAATCATGGTGGTGGAAAGTTGCAGCTGATCTGTGGCGGACCCATAGAGTTTTCAGGGCAAGAGACAAACAGAGATGGTTTGCCATTGCCTACCTCTGCTTAGCAGCCCAGTTCTGACAAGATCAGGCTAGCCATTAGTACTTTCCATTCCCATATTTGTTTAATTGATAAGGAACAAGGGTAGATGTGATTACAGGGCTGATCTCTCTGATTAAATTGTTATAAGCTGAGGACCCATGAGCAATCATGGTGCTGGGTGGATAAATTATTGGAAATATCACCCTTACTCCCACCCCTTACCCCAGTCTAGAGTGCTGTAAGGTCTTGTGCACGTCAGTGTCCTTCCTTCTGATTTCCTTTTTTCTTTCATTGACACCAAACTGCCCTCAGTAATCTGTTCCTCCGGGTGATCAGTCTGTGTGCACACTCCTCGTCAGGCTGCAGGGTCTTTTCTTAGCTGTTGATCTACCCACTATAAATCTGTTTTGTCCTTTTTAAAATCCATCAGCATGTCTTCTGGTAGCAGATTCCATAAGCTAATTTTATATATTATGGTGTGTGAAGTAATATTTTTTGTTTGTCGATTGCGTCGGGCAATTCTGACGGAGACCAGAAAGAGGCTTCCACATGGAGCTCAGAGCTCTTGCTTCAAATTTCAACCCCAAACTACAGTTTATGGGGGCTGTCTGCATGATATCGTTGTATAGTTCCCACATTCTGGGTTTTTCCTGGCTCTGTTCTGCAGTTTTCTACAGTTGGTACGATCTTTCCTTAAAGACTGAACTTAAAGAGAACAAGTTCGGGGGAAGTATGGATTTCCACCCCGTCCTACTCATATCTGGTACCATTTCCTCCCCATTTCCCCTCACATCCATTGCGCACTCCCCATTACTAGCAGGCTCTTTGCTTTTTTAAAATGAGTAGTAGATATATAGTGTCACTGTAGTAATTTGTTTTTTGCCCTCAGCTTGCAGCTGACATACAGTGACCCTGTAGAATTTCAAGGCAAGAGACGTTCAGAGGTGGTTTTGCCATTGCCTGGCTCTGTGCGGCAACTTTGACATTAGCTGGTGGTCTCCCATCCAAGTACTAACCAAGGCTGGCCCTGCTTAGCTTCCAAGATCTGATGAGATTGTTTAAGGCCAAAGGTCCACCAGATGTCGGAGAGTACTGAGATTACAAACACAAGGGGAAAGTACAGAGGAAATCTCCTTATGGAGGTTCCGTTGTATTTGCAGTATCAAACAGGAAAGTAATCAAAGAAATTCTCTCTCTCCAACTTGACATAGGTTTTGATGAGAGGATGTAATACCCATGAGCTTAGTGGTAGCTTTCTCTAGCACCGCCTCAATTTGGAACGTGACTTTTTAAAAAAAGAGAGGCTCAGATATAAAATTGCCATCTGTAATCAGGAATTGCTGTTCCGCTATAGCTATATAATTGTGGTATAATTATAAGATACAAATATGGATTGTAAATACCATTTGCCAAGTCTTGTTTTCCCTTCCCACAGCCATTTCCAGGCTTTCGTGCTAATGGAAATATCAAGACATATGAGATTTTCTGTGAAGTGTTAGGAGAACGTCATGAGTCTAAGGAAGTCCCTGCACCAAACAATTCTACAATGCTTTTTCTTGAAAACTGTTCCTGTAATATCAGTGTCTTGGCAAAGAATTCAGTAAACTCATCCTCTCCTTCTGTGATTGCCATTTCAGGAGCTTCAGAGAACGGTTTGTACAATTAGACATAAGATGCTCCAGAAATGGGTCTTTCCCTCCCATCTCCATATGAACTGATTCTGTCTAGTAGTCTTGAGAAGTGTATTAAACCTTTACGCACTTGGACTCCTTCTAGTTCAGTTTCATTGATGCCTCCACTTTAAGTATGTAGCTGAGGGGTTCCCGACCTGTTTGAGCCTGTGGGCACATTTAGAATTCTAACATGGTATGGTGGATGCAGCAACAAAATGGCTGCCACAGGAGACAGAGCCAGTCACAAAATGGCTGCCACAACTTAACTTCAGTAACACAGTGCAGATCCTTGTGCTGTGTTGGCTGCCGCCGCCAAAGCAACAGTTTAAAAAATCTGAATTGAGGCAGACTCAGCATGGGTTCTGTAAGGGAAGATCTTGTCTCACTAACCTGTTAGTGTTCTTTGAGAGAGTGAACAAACATAAGGACAAGGGGGACCCAATAGATGTTGTTTACCTTGACTTCCAGAAAGCTTTCGATAAAGTTCCTCATCAAAGGCTCCTAAATAAGCTCAATAGTCACGGGATAAATGGACAAGTAAAAAACTGGCTAATTAATAGGAAACAGAGAGTGAGTATAAATGGGCAATTTTCTCAGTGGATGGTGGTAAGCAGTGGGGTACCACAGGGATCAGTACTTAGTCTGATGCTTTTTAACTTGTTTATTATTGATTTGGAGTTGGGAGTAAGCAGTGAAGTGGCTAAATTTGCAGATGACATGAAGTTGTTCAGGGTGGTAAGACCCAGGGAGGATTGTGAGGCACTCCCAAAGGAATCTATCGAGGATGGGCAAGTGGGTGTCAGCATGGCAAATGGGGTTCAATGTGGCCAAGTGCAAAGTGATGCACATTGGAGCCAAAAATCCTAAATATAAATACACATTGATGGGGTCTGAACTGGCAGAGACTGATGAAGAGAGAGAGATCTTGGCGTCGTAGTAGATAACTCAATGAAAATATCTACACAGTGTGCAACTGCAATAAAAAAGGTCAATGCTATGCTGGGGATTATTAGGAAGGGAATTGAAAACAAAACAGCCAGTATCATAATGCCCCTGTATAAATCAATGGTGCAACCTCATTTGGAGTACTGTGTACAGTTCTGGTCACCACACCTCAAAAAGGATATTATAGCATTGGGAAAAGTGCAGAAAAGGGCAACTAGAATGATAAAAGGGTTGGAACACTTTCCCTATGAAGAAAGGTTAAAATGCTTGGGGCTTTTTAGCTTGGAGAAATGATGGCTGAGGGGTGACATGATCGAGGTTTATAAGATTATGCATGGGACAGAGCAGGTTGAGAAAGAAGTACTTTGCTCCCTTTCTCACAATACAAGAACTTGTGGGCACTCAATGAAATTGCTGAGCAGTCAGGTTAGAACAGATAGAAGGAAGTCCTTTTTCAACCAAAGAGTGGTTAACACTTGGAATTCACTGCCACAGGAGCTGGTGGCGGCTACAAGCATGGACAGTTTCAAGAAGGAATTAGATAAGCATATGGAACTGCTGGACCTCCTTATGGCACCTGGTATTTTTGACCACTGTGTGACAGAGTGTTGGACTGGATGGGCCATTGGCCTGATCCGACACTGGCTTCTCTTATGTTCTTATGGACAGCCAATCGAATCAGTCAGAAGCATTGCTGGGCAGAAGTCTTACCTGAGCCCACCCACCTCTTAAAAACACTTGGTGGACACAATGAAAGGTGCTGGTAGATGCCTTGGTGCCCACAAGCACCAAACTGGGAACCCCTAGTATAGCCTATACACTTAACAGATGTGTGTACTGGATTTTCTAATTTGCTGAACTTATTTCATGTGACCCTGGCTGTATGTGCATCCGAGCTACTCTGTGCCTCGCGAAACATTGAATGGTGTATTTGTCTGCTAGAGAGATGGTAGAATATCTATCTATCTATCTATCTATCTATCTATCTATCTATCATCCATCTGTCTGTCTGTCTGACTGTCTGTCTGTCCATCCATCTATCCATCCATCTATCCATCCATCCATCTATCCATCCATCCATCCATCCATCTATCCATCTATCCATCTATCCATCCATCCATCCATCCATCCATCCATCCATCCATCCATCCATCCATCCATCCATCCATCCATCCATCCATCCATCCATCCATCCATCCATCCATCCATCCATCCATCCATCCATCCATCCATCCATCCATCCATCCATCCATCCATCCATCCATCCATCCATCCATCCATCCATCCATCCATCCATCCATCCATCCAGGCAATGCATAGAGTTGAATCTTGCACTGCAGCAAATTGTGTGAGTTCACAGGAGCAGTTTTTTTGCTGCCTCCCTCTTCAAGGCCATCTCCTTAAGCCCCTGAAAAGCTGCACCAGGTCCATGAAAACAAAGTGTGGCTTGGAGTCAGAAGGAAACATTTGCAGGACTCCCCACCTCTTCTGTGATTAGTGCAAGGTGACTGGGTGTGTGGAGCTGGTTGAAGGGGTGATTATTATTTTTTGACTAATCTCTGCCTCCTGGCTGCATCCGTGTAGTTCTCAAGGCTCCCCTCCACTCTCATGGGACCCTTTTTTGGGGTGGGAGTAGTTTGCAGTGGGGAGAGAGAGGCAGCAAAAATGGCACCCATGAGCTTGTTCAGTTTGTTGCTCTATGGGATTCAGTCCCTATATTTATGCATTCCACAAACTCGTGGGGGGGATTTATGATTAGTATACCAGTTACACAATATACCTGAGATATTTAGAGTTATCTCGTTTTGATCTCCATACTGATATTCCTCTCTTCTCCAAGTGCTGAGAATTTCCACTGGCAGTATTGGAGGTTCTAGTAAATAACACTGGGAATACTGTATAGTTATAATATCTATTTACAAATATACAAGGAAAGCAGAAAAATGGAGGCAGAGAAGCACTCCTGCATGGCAGCAGTCCCAGAGCTGCAGTTCCCACTCCCACAAGCATCCCAGAGTTTACTTTAAACACTTTTTTTTCAAATTCTCCCATCTCCAAATTCATAATTGGTGTTTCTTATACAAAGGCAATTCAAAGCTGTGGACTCAGAGCCCACTTTTGTACATGTATTGGCTCTCCAGGAAAATACCCACCAGCCCTTAGCAGGAACTCTTAGTGATGGTTGTATCAAGACTCCCACTATCAGGAAACACGTTTGGTAATTTGTAGTGATAGAATGTGCAGAAATCACCAAGACAGGGTGGGAGTCAAGAGCTACATTTCCTGGTCATAAGAATTGGGCTCTATCTCCAGCTTCTCTGGCTATCAGAAAATCCCATAACCGGAGCAATGGTTACTATAGGTAATATTGTGGAAGTACTGCCTGTTCGGTGTCGTGTAGATGACATTTGCAGGACTATTAACAAGTACAGACTTGGGAAAAGTGGGGCTTGGTTTTTCTCCTGTGCTTTAGGTTGTTTCTTACATCTTTATCACAGCTTTTCTATAGCAGTAGTTGTGACTGGATCATCTTGTCCACATAGGACAATCTGGTGCAAACGATTTCTGTAGTGCAACAATATCCAACAATGTGTGGATGCAGCCATGGTCAGCTCCCCACATGATGTCAGGTAGCCCTGTCATGGATCTGGAATGTGGAGGGGGTTTTCTCCTCATTCTCAGCTCTTCCCTGTCCAGCTACTGTGCGCTATTTCAGGCTTGATCGTGTAGTCTCCAGCTGCAGTTACTCGGCTGGGAAGGTAAAGGCTTTTTGGCTATGCTTGCTTGCTTCCTTGCGATTATAATCATTGGCTTTTGCTCATTGGGGGGGGGGATGTTTGATTTCACTATTAGTCAGAGGCCCTTATACTGAAGGCTATTCCTGACACAAGCTGTGTACGTGATCATTAGTACTGGATCCATCAATAAACACTTATCTTCTTATGAAGCCCTGTGTGGTGTGACCTGACTAACGACCCTGACGCACCTGCATCCTTTTAATAAGCCTGATAATGATTGGCCCAAGGACATGTGCTTCCTGGCTAAGTGATGATTGGCTGCTATCTCTTTCCAGGCCTATTCCTGCATTCTAACTGAACCACACAGGTGCTCTTGGAAGTTAATATCTATTTTCAGTTATTTGCTTTTTGGGGTGCTGATTTCTGCAGCATTGCCATGATCTGTTTCTGGGAGATTTTGGTATGACTGTCACAACAGAAGACCTTTCTCCACCAGCAGTCCCACCTGCACAATCCAGAGGACAATATGGCTTTTTGGTCTCTGGCTTTGGGTGTGTTTTATTCAGTTGGAATCAGCAGGGCAACAGTTGACTTGACCGAGCTATACAAATACTAGTACAGTGTAGAAATATCTGTTGTCTTTCAAGCAAGCATTTCTGAAAATCCAAATACAGCAATGTGTTACTTTCTTAGATCACACATGGGAGATTAATACCAACATTGCTAGAGAAGATACAACCAACAACACAGAGACTGGCATTTACATCTCTTGGAAGCCTCAAAGTCAGTTCGATGGCTATGTCGTTGACTGGTGCAACCACCCAAGAGTCCAGCCTTGTGATCTGCAGTGGGAAAAATTTGGACAAAACCAGTCCAGTGCTCTCATTACATCAGGTGAGAACTAGACACCCTTGCATTTGAATTAAAAACTAATCCCTAGATAAGATGTGGTTGGAGAGGGATTGAAATGCTCTCCAGTTCTGATTTGTCAACATCTTTTCCTGCATCTGTTTTGAGATCTGCTACTGCTTTTTATCTTGCCTTCCTTGTTGCTCCTTGATATGTTGGAAATCATCTCGTTTATCATTGCAGGCAGAGAGTGCCAAGCTGAAATAAATGCTTTTTGTGCATCTACCAAGGTGGCTTCTGTGCACCTGCTAGAGAGGTGAACGAGAGATCACATTTAAGTGCAAAACTCACTGATTTATTTATTATATATTTATTTAAAACATTGACTAGCTGCTTTTCTTTCTCATGAAGCTCAAAGTGGTTTACAAGGTAAATAAAATAAATAGAAAAAGAGTACATAAAAATACATAAAACTGAAATTTAAGATCGCAGTTTAGGACTGCTTTAATCAAATGCAGTTCTAAATAAAACCATCTTCAGCTGCCCCCTAAAGACTGGAAGTGAGGGGGACGGAAGTATCTCCTTGTTCCATAATTGTGGAGCTGCCAATGAAAAGGCCCTCTCTCTCATGTACCCAGCCCAACAAGCTTTTTTTTGATTGATGGTGGAGTCAGGAAGGCCTCTCCCTGTGATCTTAATTCCTGGCAGGAACATATGGGAGACTAGAAGGCAGTCCTTCAGACACCCTGGTCCCAAGCCATGTAGGGCCTTAAAGGTCAAAACCCACACCTTGAACTGGGTTCTAGAGTGGACTGATAGCCAGTGTAATTGCTGTAGTATCAAGGTCACATACTCCCGATAGCTGGCCCTGACCGGCAGTATAGCCATAGCATTCCATCCTAGCTGCAGCTTCCAGACAGTCCTCAAGGGTAGCCCCAAGTAAAGTGCACTGCAGTAGTCCAGTCCAGATGTAACTAAAGCATGGATCACTGTGGCCACATCTGACTGACCCAGGAATGGATGCAGTTGATGCTCCACCTGAAGCTGGGCAAAAGCACTCCAGACCACTGCAGCCATCTGGTTGTCTAAGGCCACTGTGTCGAGTAGCACTCTCAGGCTTCGAGATTTATTTGAAAAAGTGGCTGTGAAGTTCATCACGGAAACCAGATGAACTTGACCAAAAGAAAAAATGTATCCGCTAAAACAGAATCTGTAGCCTTCAAAATCTCTATAGTTGATGGCTGCGAGATCTCTTGCTTCACTTGGTTTAAACGAGCCCTCCAGTTGCCTGAGCTGTTAGAACGGTATAGAATGTGTATTAACATCCCAGCTAGTCAGAAGTTCAATGAAGTATCATCATTCCATGCCTAGGACCGGGGCTATGTGTTGTGGATGGGAAAACAACCAGGAGAAGAAAGTATTTCGTGGGTATATGAGGATGGTATATGAACATTAGAAAAGAGCACGAGTCCAGTAGCACCTTAAAAAATAACAAAATTTGTGGCGGGGGGGTGAGCTTTCATGAGTCACTGCTCACTTCTTCAGATAAGGTTGATGGATTTCCATTCTGTATGGCGAAACATGGTGCCTTCCATGGAGAGAGATCGAGATGCGTAGGGGTTAGTCTGTCTGTAGCAGTAGAAAAGAGCAAGAGTCCAGTAGCACCTTAAAGACTAACATTTGTGGCAGGGGAGTCCAGTAGCACCTTAAAGACTAACAAAATCTGAGGCAGGGGAAAAGCTGTTGTGAGTTACTGCTCACTTCTTTAGAAAGCTCATCCCCTGCCACAAATGTTAGTCTTCAAGGTGCTACTGGACTCTTGCTCTTTTCTACTGCTACAGACTAACACGGCGACCCGTCTTGGTATATGAACAGTGTGCATAAGTAATGTTTGCAGATGAACATTGTATGTATATGGCTGGGGAAGGAGTGAAAATTTTTAACTGCACACTGGCAGAAACTTATCCATGAATTTAAGTGAGTCTCTGCTTAACCCTTATTCTCACTTATTAAAGACTTTCAGGATTATGTCTTTGAGTAAATACCTTGTTCTAAAGAGGAATCATGGTCAGGATTCTTACCTAACTCTGGAGGCTTACTGAACCTCTCCTGATTTTGTTATGTTCTAGATGCCTTCATTCCTGGAGTGCAATACAGTTTCAGGGTATATGGATCTCGTGGTTACACAGCTTCTTTACTGGAGAAGAAAGCCAAATACCTTAAGGAACTGGGTAAGTCCACAGCGCTGTTGGCCACATGTTGTTAACCGAGTGTGTTGAATAAACAGTCGTGTGTTGTTAAAATAGAAAGAAACTCTGCAGGAACACAGGAATGTCTTGCTTTTTGCCCCCATCGCTAGCACATTTTTCATAGGCACTTTGTTCAAGAAAGCCCTTATTCCTGACCAAACAGGTTCCTGCGAGGGCTCTCCTAGTTTGGTCCCTTTGCATGGAGAAAAGCCGACCTGTGTGCTTCCCCTTCTTGTGCACGCACTGAAAACAAATAGGGCAATGCAAAAGAGCCTCACCTACTCATTGCAGCATACCTGTGACTCTGGACGAAAGCAGAAACTGGACAGTAACACAGTTAGCAGAGATGTCTGAACCTACAAAGTTGTTTTGTACTGAGTTTAGTCCACTGACCCATCTAGTTCTGTACCATCTACTCTAGCAGTGGCTCTACAGGGTCTTTCTTATGGTCAAGAAAGGTCTTTCCTAACACCTGCTACTGGAGGGCCTTTAACTGGAGGAGTGGGGAGATTGAATTTAGGGACCTTCTGTATGCAAAGCCCATTCTTTGTCCTTGTAGCCACAAACAGATGTGACAAAGATCATGAATATCCACTAATCTGTAAAAAGGTGAATTTCATGTGCAGCTGCTATTCAGATCAGGACCATACAAGAAAGGGAGAGTGGTTTAACCCTTCAGCTCCTGCTTGGTTCTGCTCATTGAAGCCAGGTTCTTTTTGATGCTGTTAATGTCTTGAATGGAGAAAGATGGGGATTTAGAGAACACATCTTTATCACTTATAGCAGAACAAAGCGAAGATTGAAGGGTTAAGCCACGTCATCTTTTCCATTCTGCCCAGTTGAATCAGGGTTACACACATACACAGTTACACACACAAAGGCCTGTGATTTTTGTCACATCTGTTGACTCATCACAGCCCCAAGGGTCCAGCTTTTCAAAAGCCGATAGACCCCGTGTTACTCGCAGAGTAAGCATAGCTGCTTTTAGAGCTATGGCTTTAGAATTTCAGGGTCTCTGGTGCTGCCGTGAACGAGAAGGTTCATGTGGTAGCCAGTTGTAGCTAAAGCAACTGAATCCCATTGATTTCAATGAGAGAGTTAAATTTCCCCCACTGAAATAAATGGGCCTTTAAAGGGATTGGCTTTGGCTGGATGATGCACAAAGAAATTTATCGTGGCATCAGTTTCTGAGGTCGCCTCTGATAAAGTGGTCTGCAGCCCACAAGAGCACATGCTGTAATAAATGCAGAAAAACATATTGCTGCTAAAGTCACCAGAAAGTAAAGAAAGAGTTTTGAGAATAATCAGCTAGGAGAGATTCCTAGTTAAGGGCCTCAGGTGTAGTTCATCTGGAGCAATGAGGACACAAATCCTGAAATATTCAGTTGAAGCTTTCTTAGAAACTCATGGAAGAACTGACCCAGTTCCATTGTTTCCCCCCAACACAGTCTTGCTTTGGCAGTAAATAGATATTCAATGCCAAGGCTGAAGATTAGCAGTCCAGGACACAAATAACAATTTCATCCATTTCCTCTCTTTCAGAGCCAACTAATTTCCCTGAACTACATGTAGACACAAAGAATCCCAGATTTCTGACACTGACATGGGATTATGATCATCTTAATGAGTCCCATCCTGGTTTTATCAGAGGCTACAGTGTTTTTGTGAAAGACAAACATGGAAATTGCACATTAGAAGGATTGGAAAAGGTGGTAATTCAAGGTAACCGTAATGTCCTGAGAGGTCTTCTATGACTTGGTGCTCAGAAGTGGTGGAAAGGATGTGATGCCAACCTCAAGCAGCTAGATTTGAGCCTAGTAGCGCCTTAGAGACAATAATTAATTAATTAATTAATTAATTAATTCAATTTCTCTCCCACCCTTCCCGCAATTGGGCTCAGGGCGGGTTATTCACAATATAAAACAATAAAATCAAAGATTAAAACTATAAAACTTAACTCTTAAAACGATGGCAGTCAAACTACATTACAACTATCATAATGGTTCATTGGTGTTAATTAGAAGCAGAAAGGGGGCTAAATCCCATAAGGGATTCCAGATTGTAATTAACCTACCTTGGGTAAGCCAAGGCGATTATCATTCTGTGTCTTTGAAAACTGAACATGATTGATGGTACAGATGGTAGCAGAAAAGTAGCAGGATGGTGGCAGGAGGGGGCAGATTATATTTGACGCCCGCGGCCTCAGCCAAAAGCCTGGTGGAAGAGCTCCGTCTTACAGGCCCTGCAGAACCGCAAAAGGTCCTACAGGGACCTGATCTCTAGCAGGAGCTCATTCCAGCAGGTTGGGGCCAGGGCTGAAAAGGCCTTGGTCCTGGCTAAGACCAGACAGACGTCTTTCGGGCTGGGGATCACCAGTAAATGTTGATCTAATGAACGCAAGGCTTGACAGGGCACACATGGGGAGAGGTGGTCCCATAAGTCTCTCTCTCTTTGTGAAGCGATGAAGCGAGATCTGAGAGGAGAGGAAACGAAGAACCCAGAGGAAAGGTGCTGACATAAGTTAAGAACCTGAGAAAGGAGATCAGCCATGTTAAGATAGCAAGAGGTTATGGTGAGGAGGGAAAGGGTGCCAGAAACAATGGCTGATTCTGCACTGGCTATTCCCTCTGTTGTTTTAGCAAACTCACACTGGAACACTCTGCATTGCATGCCGGTTTCACTGTCTTTGATCATCAGGTTTTGTTACAGCGTCCACATTCCATGCCGCTTTAGCTTCCTTTGATTATCGGATTTTATGGCACTGTCTGCATAGATTTATGGTCGTTTTATGCCCTTCAGGGGTGACTTTGCAGTCAGTATGGCACTGGCCCGGGGTATTTGGATGTAGTTTTGAGCTGCACTTTCCCCTCAAACTGGAGTGAATGTGGAACGAATGCCAGATGCAGAACCAGCCATTGTTAAAGGAAAAGGCTTAGACCTTACTGGGAGGCAGGGCTCTTTTTGTAGAAAAAGCCCAGCAGGAACTCATTAGCATAATAGGCCATACCCAACAACAGGAACTCATTAGCATATTAGGCCACACCCTGACAGCACACCTCATTTGCATATTAGGCCACACCCCCATGTTACCAGAAGTGTGCTCATCCAGCCACACCCACCTTTTGCTTCTTATTCTCTTTACCTTGTTTGTTGTCAAAACCCAGGGCTTTTTGCATGTTAGGCCACATACCCCTAATTGTAGCCAATCCTAATGAGCTTCTGCTGTTGAGTGTGGCCTATTATGCTAATGAGTTCCTGCTGGGTGTGGCCAACTTGGGAGCCAGCCGGAACTCCGTTCCTGTGTGTTCCTGCCCAAAAATAGCCCTGCTGGGAGGTGTTTCTCAAGCTTCTGCTGAGCAGAGAATATTCTATAGGCTACCTCGATTACAGGGGGGAAGGAGGCATGGCATAGCCTGATCTCTTCAGATCTTGGAAGTTAAGCAGGGTCAGTACATGGACGGGAGACCACCAAGGAAGGCTTTGCAGAGGAAGGTAATGGCAAACAACTCTGCTTCTCACTTGCTTTGACAGCCCCCTTCTGAGGTCACCCTTGTAACCTGATGGGGCTTACACCATCACAGGTTTCCTGCCTTTTCTACTACATGGACGAGTGCCCGACTAAAATTGCAGGAAGCTGGTAGCTTATCTTGAGGGAAAGGCAATTTCCTGCCATCTTAGATTGGCTCTTGTGCATTTAAGGGGAGAAAATGGTGGCTGGGTCCTGAAACTAATTGGCTCTTTCAGAGACATTTCTCCCACCAACTGATGAAGGGTGCTCTTTCTCTCCTGAAAGAGGGGCTCACTTTCAAAATACCTGCAAACTGTCAAATAGGAATCAGAATTTATATTCTGTCTCTCTCTGTGTTACTGAATGCAGATGGTTTGGTGATATGCAAGCACACAGTTAAAGACCCAGCTGAAAAGACATTGACAGTGAAATACCCAGGGCTAAACAAAGAGTACTGGTTAGAAGTCCTCGCTTTCAGCACCAGCCCCCCAAACATCACGAACAACATTATCAAAGGAACTACGCAACACATTCAAGAAGTGCCCATACCACTTGATGGTAAGTTCTACAATCAGTGAGCGTTTAATTTGGGTTGTAATTGGGCTTTTTTGTTGTTTGCTTTTGGTATTATGAATATGCTCTTGCACTTCTTTTAATTCTGCCTGTTATCATCAGCTGCTGCATTTGTGAGCAGTGTTCCCTCTAAGCTGAGTTAGTGTGAGCTAGCTCACAGTTTTTTAGCCTCTGGCTCACACATTTTTGTCTTAGCTCAGGAAGGATGGCTTCACAGCAAACTAATTTATGCAGCAGCCAAATCTCCTGCTCACAACATTAATGCCAGTAGCTCACAAAGTAGAATTTTTGCTCACAGGGCTCCATAGCTTAGAGGGAACATTGTTTGTGAGCATATATGGAGCTGTCAGAATCAGAAATGAGTCTCTGTTAAGTCCCATCAAGTTGCTTCTGACTTACGGCAAACCTAAGAATTAACTGCTTCTGTCAGTGGGTATCACCAGTCGATCCAAACCGTGTTTGTCTCATTGCCAGCTATGGGAGACACGTAACTTTCCACCTATCTTCAAAGGCTACAGGGAAATTTGAATCTACATGTTCAGCTATGAACAAAGAAGTGGTCACTGTTGGCATGGCAACATCCATCTGGCAAAACAGAATCCTTAATAAACTGGTCCAGGATATCCTAACCTAGCTTACTGCAGTTCCATCAGTCCTGTTGTCCATGAATTTATCTGGTCTTTCTGGCACCAATCTAAAACAGTGCTGGAAGGGGAAGGGGGCAAGAGTTGCTTATATTCCTGAAATTATTAAATATTATAATTGAAGAAAATTATTATTTTTTTAACAGGAAACTGGGTCTTTCAACTCCTCCCGATACCAGTGGTTATTTCTGTAATGCTGCTAATCTGTATATGTTTCTGGAGAAGCAACTGGTAAGTTTGTAGGAACAAAACTTTTTTGTATAGACAATAAATTAAAAACAAAAACACCAGACTTTGAGATTTGGGCCAGGGAGCCAGTTTTGTAGGCTTCCTACTCTGCCTGGTATTTTAAGGACCACTGTCTACTGGTCATCCCCGGCCCCAAAGATATCCAGCTGTCCTTGACCAGAGCCAAATACCACCAGAGGTCATTTCGGGGGGGAACGCGGGGGAACGCAGTTCCCCCGGGTGAGGTGCAGGGGGCGGGGCACATGATGAAGCCCCGCCCCCTGCTTCCGGCTGCCCCGCTTCTAGCCCTCATTCAGCCAGGAGGAAGCAGGAGAAGACGGAGGATAAGTTGCTTCCTCCCCGCCTCTTCCCACCCCTGCCTGCCTGGGGCCAGGGAGGGCCTTGGCGGGGCTTCCTCGCACTCCCGCTGGCCTTGCAGGTCCACCACTGGGCCCCTGATGTCAGGGGGTGTGGCATATGCTAATGAGTTATGCTAATGAGTTCCCCTAGCTATTTTTCTACGAAATGACCCCTGAATGCCACCAAGGCCCTGCGGGACTTAATGCAATTTCACAGGGGTTGTAAGGCAGACATGTTCTGCCAGGCTTTTGGTTGAGGGCAGTGATGGTTCCATCATAGCTGGCACCCTTCTCCTTTCCTCCATCTTTCCGCTTGGGCCCCCTCCTCGCCCTACCCACGAAACGGCAACAGAGTCCGGAGTGGGTCAAGAAGAAATATTGATGCCATCTGAGATTCTGTAACTGATATATAGATTTTTTATTGATTTTAACATTGTTTTTAACTGCTGTATATTGCCCAGAGCCTTGTGCTCGCAGGGATCGGGCGATTCCTAAATCCAATAAATAAATAAATTTCAGCTTGTATCCTACCACTCTGCTCAGCGAATGGCAGTGCACTGCACTGGCACAAGGATCCTCCTATGAAACTCCCCAGCAGCAGAAGAATATCTTGCATCAGAGGGAAGGTTCCATGGGGTGGTGAAGTGTGCCACTCTTCACTGAATAGCAGAATGTAATCCTTCATTATCTAGGGGAGTCCACTTGTGAACAACCTGCAATCTCTTAGTTTTTGCAATCTTTTTGTCTTTGCACTATTGGTTTTCATTGGTGGGGTGTGTGTGTTTCAAACACGTAGTGTATACTCAATTTCTAGTGGCACGATTTAGGCAACCTGCTCTGGACATTTGCATTTTGACCTACGGCACTTTATGCACTCTCCGTCTCTTTTTCGAGTGCTGTGATCTAATGGAAAATCAAGATGCATTCTCACTTTCCTCTTTTGTTTTTCTAGCGTCAGGAAACGCTGCTGCCCTAAAATCCCCCATCCCACTGTGACCCCGATTAAGGTAAAGCGAAAATTCTAATAGATGGAATAAATTTTTCCTCTCCCCAGTTATCCATCGGTGCACTTGCTGATTCTTTGGTTTCAAACTGTGTTATCTTTGCTAAAATCCATCCGAGATGCCCTGCCCCCATTTTTTTTTTTTGGGGGGGGAATAGTCACGTACCCAAGGAACTAAGTACATGTTGCGTTTACCCAAGTTTCCAGTGAGAACTAGTAGCCATATTTCTGCTGTGAGTACCTGGAGGCAACTTCCCTGTAAAAGAAGAGAGAAGAAGAGATTGGATTTATACCCCGCCCTTCACTACCTGAAGGTGTCTCAGAGTGGCTTACAAATGTCTTTTCCTTCCCCTCCCCACAACAGACACCCTGTGAGGTAGGTGGGGCTGAGAGAGCTCTGACAGAAACTGCTCTTATCAGAACTACGGCTTGCCCAAGGTCATCCAGCCAGGTGCAAGTGGAGGAGGAGCGGGGAATCAAACCCAGTTCTCCCAGATTAGAGTTTGCGCACTTAACCACTACACCAAACTGGCTCTGTACACCAAACTGGCTCTCTGAATTAGGGTGGGAAGCAGGGGGAGGGGCTCCTGCCTTTCCTCCAGGCCATTTTCGGGAATCAAAAGGGCCTGAGAGCCCTGAGGGGTGTTATTTGCCCCACTGGGAGGCCATTTCTGCTCTATCAAATGGTACAGGGGCACCAGTCCTCCTCTGAGGAGCTGCATGCATGATTCCCTCTCTCCATTTCATACCAGCAGCAGCCCGTGAGGTAGTTTATTTATTTACTTTGCTTATACCCTGCCTAGCAACTTACCTCCCTTTTCCTCACCACCATTTTATCCTCGCACCAATCCTGCGAGAGCCTGTGACTGGCTCCAGGTCACTCAGCAAGCTTCCATGCTTGCGTCGCCCGGATCCTAGTCCTGCAATCTAACCCAGAGGTGTCGAACTGATTTGTTATGAGGGCTGGATCTGACATAAATGTCACTTTGTCGGGCCAGGCCAGGTGTGCCATAAAACTTAATGCCAGGTACTGGAGATACTGTATAAAGGACGGCAGCTGGTAAGCTCTGAGTTGGTGTATTCTCACTGCAAGGCCCCAGGGGCTGGGAAGGGGGTGCAGAGGAAAACCCACCTAGATGGACTGGAGAGGCAGTAGGGCAGCTCCGGGCAGTTGATCCCATGATGCTTGGCTGCTGCTGACAAAGTTGTTCTGTCGTGCTGAAGCCACAATGGAGTGGCTCCGCCCATTACCCTCCCCAGCACTTCTTCCCTTTTATCAGTTGCTCACTGGCTGCATAAGAGCCCTTGATGGGCAAGTTCTGCCCCCCCGGGCCTTATGTTTGACACCCCTGCTCTAACCATCTTTGGGGGAGGCTAGGGCCCAGGAGGCCAGGTAGAAACACCTGTTAACATCTATTATGAATGCCTACCGGGAATGTTTGGGTTGTGCTATGGCTGTGGTTGCCTCTCTGAGATTCCGGAATGAATAATGTGTAGTTTTGAGCACTTTAATGTTTGAATGGGTTTTAAATTGTATATTATGTTTTTAACTGTACTAAAGTATTGATGTTTTATTAGCAAGTTTTTTTTCTTGCCATGTAAGCCGCCCTGAGCCCCACGGGGAAGGGCGGGGTATAAAATCTAATAATAAATAAATAAATAAATAACCACTCCACCACACACAACCAAGAGGTTTTGGTCACGCAGTGATCTTTGTGGCTGAGTGGGAATTGAAACTTTTCTTTACAATATCCCGTGTCCCATGTGGCTTTTGTGGGACCCATGCAGCTGACCAGAGTAGCAATTCTGGGTGGTCAAAGGAGTCCCCCTTTCTCCATTTTTCATCAGCAGAAAAACTGGTTGGATCCAACCCAAGGTAACATCACTGCTGCGATGCATATTGAAATCTATCTGTAAACCACTGAAAGTAGCTTTTAATAGGCTACAAGTCCACAGGTCTTTGATTTTTCATATTCTCGCTGCTGTGTCGATATAGGATATGAGGTTTATGGAGACTTGAAGGAACTAGTGAAAATCAACAGGTTACAGAGCACGAAACTCAGCCTGGGCTAGTAAGAATGAGGACATTGTTGACTACTTGTAGAAAGATTCAGGTGGGTAGCCATGTTGATCTGAAGCACATGAAAGCTTATACCAAGAATTAACTTTATTGGTCTTAGAGGTGCCACTGGACTCAAACTTTGTTCTTCAACTTGCAGAAAATTACCTTTCATGGCTTGAGAGCTTGCAAAACGTCGTTTTTTTTTTAAAAAAAACTGGAGTAGATCCACATACAGCACACCATGCAGTAAAAGCTGTATGCTAATATAAAAACATAGGGGCTATGAATTATTTAGCGCTAATAAGGCCCTTCCAGCAGGCTTTAAAAGTGTTGAGGGAGAGGGAAGAAAGGAAGTGATAACCTGATTTGACTCTTCTCTGTAGTGGTTGTTCTGGGTTCTGCTCTCGACACTCAGTACTTTAGTCAGTCTTTAATTCAGTTTGCTTGTCCGCAGGTTCTTCACCCTAAAACCTTGCTGGCACCCAGTGATTTCACTCATAGCAACGTATTAGTAGAGGAGCCATGGAGTTGTGGAGAGAAACACTACTACTACAATCAAGGCCTCTGTGCCAAGACGCCTGCTGTGGAAACTTTCGCCTTTCAGAACCTGACCTACCTCACCGACGGCTCTAACTGTTACCAGAGTGTACCCACACAAGAGGCAGCAAGGCAGAAACCCGAACTGACTCTGGCCTCTAACAAGCCACTACAGTGCTCTACTCCGTTGAGTAATCTCACCAATTTAAATTATGTTTCTCAAATGGGCTTGTCTTTCCCTGGGTTTACGCAAGGCGACCAAGCTGGTCCTGTCGATTCCTCAAAACGGTCAGATTACAAACCCCAGCAGGCTTTGGGATCTGAATCAAGTTCCCCTGACACATCTGAGGAAACTATAGATATACTCTGATGAGCTCTGAAGGAAGGACAGATATTCAGCCTGCAACAAGTGAAGCTTCTGAAGCTCCCCCCCACCCCCGGAAGTGGAAAGCGTAATGGACCAAATGATAATCATGTGGGGCGACTTGTGGGACTGAAGAGGCAACATCCCATGGAAGCTCTCTTGGTAGGGGTCACATGACTTCTGCATTCTGGGTGGCACACAGACATATTTCTGTCTTTCCTCTGTGTGACTTTATGATAATCGTCAGTCACATCAAATTAGCCAGTTTGGTGTAGTGGTGAAGTGCGCGGACTCTAATCTGGGAGAACCGGGTTTGATTCCCCACTCCTCCACTTGCATCTGCTGATGTGACCTTGGGTCAGTCACAAGCTCTGTCAGGGTTGTCCTTGAAAAAGAGCAGTTTCTGTCAAGAGCTCTCTGAGCCCCACCTACCTCACAGGGTGTCTGTTGTGGGGAGGGGAAGGGAAAGGAGTTTGTAAGCCGCTCTGAGACACCTTTGGGTAGTGAAGGGCGAGGTATAAATCCAATCTCCTCTTCTATTATTGTTTTGATGTTAAAATTGTAATATAGACATTGACATATATACATATATAAGACATATGTACAAAACACAGTTTACTTTTTTTAAAAAAAAACAACCCCTGAATTCTGGCATCTCTGGAATTCTGACACATGGCAGTAGCGACAGTCATAAAAACAGCTGCCACGGGAGGTGAAGCCAACCACAAAATATCAGGGAGTGAGGTTTTAGTGTATCTGATGAAGTGTGCATAGACACGAAAGCTTATACCCAGAACTAAGCTTTGTTGGTCTTAAAGGTGCCACTGGATTCAAACTTTGTTACATAACTCTTCAACATTTCGGGCACCAGCTCTGTTTAACAGGATACCTTTTATACCTGCACGGCCAGTCAGAAGCTCTGAAGGGAAAAAGCTCCATCCAGGTAACCCACTTCCTTGGTGGCTCCAGGAAAGGTGTCAGGGTTCGATGGGTTGCCTTGTGTAACCTGAAAATGGAAACCCTTTCCAGAGCTTTTGCCTAGCTCTGTGGTTCAGTCCAAGTCCTTGGCCTGACTTTGTGAGTCTCTGGCTCAGGTTAGAAGTGGGGTGCCCTGTTGTTGGGGCTACCCGAGAGTAATGTTGCCCTGCAAGGCACTTATAGTGCTCTCGTGGAATTATGGTTCATAAGTGATAAACTGGACAGTGCAATTAGTGTGCTAAGGGACATGGAATATACAGGGACCATGTGATGTTGCCATCAACCTGGACTGCAGGCACACACCCAGCAGATGAGAGCTTTCTCCTGTGACGACATGCCAAACCAAAGATGGATCCATGAGTTACCTGCCCTACCTCACCTGCAGCGCAGCAGAAAGAGAACCAAGCACCCTAGCCACAGAAAGCACACAGAAGCCAGCGACCATTTGCTATAGGGGAATGCCATATTCTGCAAAAGGGACTTAAAATCCTGAAGAGACTCCATGAGCAAACCTTTCCTTCAACTGCAGGCACCCCCCCCCTTCACCTTCACCATAGACGGCATGTAGGCTCTTAGGCATAACAAAAGAACTGCTTGCTGAATAGGGATAGCTGACTGCCACAGCTCAGCTAAACCCATCAACTCATCAGCCAGAGCCATCTAAAGACAATAACCCTGGACTCAGCTATTGTTCTCTAAAGGTGACTACTGTCAGTAGTAATGAAATCAATATTGCCCAACCTTTAGCTCCACCTTCCTCCTGCAACCAGTTTTTGCATAGCAACTTCCTGAGGATGTGAGGAGGGGAAGTGGTTGGTAAAAGCCCACCCCCAAATATAGTATAAAAGAGCAAACCCTGCCATGTGCTCTCTCTCTCTCTCCTCTAGACCTAAACCCTGCCCAATCTTGTTGACTCTAGGGGCGATTTCACACTAGAGCTGCCTTGTGGCGCAGCCGCCGTTTGCCCTGACACTATTTGTCAATTTCACACCTGAGGCTGCGGGGCTGCATTTGACCCGCAGCTTCACCCGATTTCCTCCGCAGTTTCATGATCCTCAAAAACCAGGCTCACGAAACTGCGGAGGAAATTGGGCGAAGCCGCAAGTCAAAATGCAGCCCCGCAGCTTCGGGTGTGAAATTGACATGTTTGTGTCGGGGCAAATGGCGGCTGCGCCGCGAGGCAGCTCTAGTGCGAAATCGCCCTGTGTGTAGCACTGCCTGAGTCTAACCACGTGTTCTGATAGTACAGAATATGACCCTTAATCCCTTATTAGTCTCCCTTATTTTTTCATCTCTCCAGGATCAGGTACATATCACCCACCAACGATTTTACCTGCTCATGCGAATGTCGCTATCCCTTTCTAATTTTCCTAGATCTGAATAAGTGTATGTGTGGTTGTGTTTTACTGTATGTTTGGAATGTTCTTCAATAAAGAATCCATTTCTCTAAAGACTTGGTTTCTGCGTTTATGGTTTTACTGGAAAAGGAAGGACTCCTGTATACAAAGGCTTTGCTCCCTTTAGTGCCAATTGCTAATTAATAATCATAATTCCCCATATTAATAACACATCAAAGCAATTTGGCTAACGGTAAGTCAGTGTCTCCAGGCTACAGGTAGTTAAGGAGAGCAAATGTGTAAGTCCAAGGATTCCACAGGCTCATGCTGTAATAAACTGATTTGTCATTGCATAATAAATGTATCAGTGGGTTGTATCACAGAAGAGGTATTCTGATTGGTGGTGGTATTGGAAAGTGCCATCAAATCACGACTTGAGTTATGGCGACCTGGTGGGGTTTGCAAGGCCAGAGATGTTCAGAGGTGGTTTGCCATTGCCGGCCTCCACGCCACAACCCTGGTATCCCTTGGAGAAGCCTCCCGTCCAAATACTAACCATGGCTGACCCTGCTTAGCTTTTGAGATCTGACGAGATCAGGCTAGTTTGGGCTGTTAAGCAACATGCTATACTATCAGACAAATCAAGTACCTGAATTAAACTCTCTCGGGCCAGCCTTGATGCATGGTAGGAAGTATAAGAAAGGGCGATGTTTTGGTAGTGGCCCCTCACTTTGTGAGGTAAAAACTTGTCTCTTGAATAGATCCACAGGACTGAACCGATGCTGGTTTCCCCAAAAGTGAATCAGATCAGGACAGTTAGTTTTGTTGGGCGTTTATGGAATGTTTCTTTCTGCTTGCAGTACCTTTCTTTACTAGATTTTTATGCTGGAATGGATCTGAGCTGCTTTTTAAAGAATACCAAAATGGATTGTTTGTAGCATACCCTTTAAGACACTTTGTGGATTCATAGTTGATGGGAAGGTGGGGATAGAAACAAGCCAGTCACTAAGTTTTACGCTTCCTGCAGGATACGAAGGTGTTGGACAGAGGACTGGTCCCTTTTGCTTAGCACTGCCTCAGTACTGGCAATGGCACTCCAGAGTCTCAGAGGCAGAAAGGTCTTCCTCAGCACGTTATCCTAGATCCTCGGACTGGAGATGCCAGAGCTTGCACCAAGCTATTCAGCGTGCCTCGAATGTGCCAATGCCTCTGAGCCGTATCCCACCTCCAGTCGTAGCATATTCTAGCCTTCTTGGTGTTTCCTTGTCTCCTGGTACTTAAGATTCACAAGCCTCTTCCTCTGCAAACTCCATGCCATATTATTTACTACTAGGATAGTTATACAGTTTAACACCATTTAATTCAAGTCGGTTTATTTAGGCCCCGGGTCACACGGCAAAGTTGCCGTGGGAGAGGCACGGGGGTCCCGCGGATTTTCCGGGCGCGATCTCACCCCAACATCTGGGAAGCGCAGTGCTCCTGTGGCAAACCCGTGGCTCCCCGCCGAAGGTGCGGAGTTAAAAACTAGTACCTATGAGATACTAGTTTCCTGAAACCGCGGGCCAAGGGCGGGCGTCTGATCGTGTTCTCGGTGGACTTACGTGACATCTGGCGCCCACCGCTGTTCGTCTTCGCAGGTTGCGCAACAGCGCCCAACAGGGCATGCACACAAAGAGCGATTGCTAGTGCGATTGCGCGGCGTGGCTTCTGTGCCGCGCTGCAGGATACCCATCTGATCGGCATTTCCCCCGAAACATGGGACCTTGACCGGGACATGTGCTTGGGCGGCCGCACGTTAGTTTCCTCCAGAGCAATTAGCCACGCCTCCCCCCCCCCACGATATCCGGCCCGTGTGACTGGGGCCTTAGAAAATCTATATGTTGTCTTCTCCAGAGACCTGCGCAGTAGCAAGCTCACAGTTTTCCACTCTAGAAACAGCAAGCCATTCTCTAGCCGCTGACCTTGGCCATCCAAGTGGGCTCCCTCGAAATGTTTACAGCTCTTACGCCAAAGGAAGCTAACCAGAGAGTTTAGTTTGATGCTAAAGAATCTCTCATTCTGCTGTGAGTCAAGTAATATTGCAGGTTCATAACGCCACCTGGTGGACACAAGAAACATTTGGACAGCTTTAAAAATATAACTCCCCCCCCCAAACCCATTAAGGGTGGCAGCAGAGGAGGCAATAAGGCCCAAATCACATCTTTTGAGGTTCTGAGAACAGCTGCTGGCTGCGCACTCAACTTGCCAGGTGAGAAGCTGCACAGCCAGGTTGCAAATTTTGCTTGCAGCCTTCAGTGGGCTTCCTATGGAAATCAAGTCCCTGCCAGAGAGCCAGTTCGCTGTAGAGGTTAAGAGTGGTGGACTGTAATCTGGCGAACCGGGTTTGATTCCTCACTCCTCATCCACATGCAACCAGCTGGGTGACCTTGGGTCAGTCACAGCTCTCTCAGCCCCACCTACCTCACAGGGTGTGTGTTGCGGAGAGAGGAAGGGAAGGTGATTGTCAGCTGCTCCGAGACGCTGAGTGAAGGGCAGGGTGTAAACCCAACTCTTCTACTTCTCTCTCCTCTTGTTGATGCAAGGCTGTCCTAGTGATCTGCACAGTGGTATAGACTGGTTGTATCTTTGTGTTTAAATGTTTTGATAAACTGCATGGTAACAACCGACTGTTAACATTTCAGTACATCTGGAGGAAAGTGCTGTCAAGTCACAGCCGACGTAGGGTGACTCCAAAGGCCTTCCAAGGTAAGAGAAATTCAGAGGTCATTTGCCACTGGCTTCCTCTGCATAGCAGTGCCAGACTTCCTTCCTTGGTCTCCCATCCAAGTACTCACCAGGGCCAACTCTGCTTAGCTTCCCAGGTCTGATGAGATCGGGCTGGTCTGGGCC